GGAAGAACTTACCAAATTAATATAAGAAAACCCCTTTACTATATGAGAGACAATCAATATGGCACTTTCCCACAAAGATGGGATTTTTGATACTTACTGCGATTACAGATAAGCTAAGCAAAGAGTTAAATGCTATTGATTATCTAAAGGTGAAGATGATGTTAGGTTTTTATATCAGAAAGCTAGAGTCAGACACAACTCGAATAATATTAAAGAGATTTTAGTTAATGGAAATTATATTCAAAATCATGTGGACATTGTTAAGGAAGCTATTTATTTTTACTCTAATCTGCTCAATGCTCCTGCTTCTAATGATCATTTTTTTGGGGATAATTTTCCTACTAATTTTTATGTTTCTGATGACGATAGGCCCTTTCTGACCCAATGTTATTTTGATATTGATATAAAAAAGGATTTCTTTTCTATTGGCTCTAACAAAACTCCTGGATCTGATGATTTCACTTTAAAATTTTTTAAAGATATTTGGGATATTGTTAGTAATGACTGTATTTCTACAATTTATTATTTCTTCATTTCCTCTAAACTTCTTAATAGGGTTTCCTATAGCGCTTATTCCTAAGGGTAATACTATCAAATTCTTTTGTGGAATATTGATCAGTCTCTATATGTAATACTTTTTATAAACTTTATTTCTATTTTGTTGGATAATAGGCTAAAGATTATTCTTCTTAAAATTATTTATTCTTCTCCGGCTCCTTTTATTAGTGGTCGTGATATCGCTGATAATATCATTTTAAGTAATTATCTTCTTTATGGTTTTAATTCTTTGAATTGTGCTAGGAAGTTTTGTACTAAAATTGATATTCATAAAGCTTTTCATAAGGTTAATAAAGTTTTATTTTTTTGCTTAAGAGATAAAAGAATATTGAGATTCTTAATAAGTTTATAAACGAGATTATTGCCTCGATTTTTTATGTTCATTTATCTGTTATTATCAATAATGATTTAAAAGACTATTTTTCTTCTTCTGATTTGAGATAGAGTTATCCTCCCTTCATTTACCTTTTTCCCTATCATTATGAATTCACTTTCTGTTTTGCTTGATAAACATTTAGATGATATTGGTCATGTCTTTTCGATTAAACATTTGATTTATGTTGATGACATTCTTATTTTAGTAAGGCTGGTGCTAATTATATTAATTTTATTGTTGAAACTTATAGTAAATTTTTTGAATCTTCTAAACTTTAGATTAACTTTTTTAAATCTACTATTGCTTTTTTGAAAAGTGCTAATAATAATATCCAAAATTTAATTTGTAGTTTATGTAGTTTTACTATTAAAAATTTGTTATGAACTTACATTGATGTCACCATCAAACCTTCTAAATTAGTTATTAATGACTATCATGAGCTCTTAGATAAGATCTATTTGTGGCTAGCAGGTTAGAAGATGAAACTTTTATCTGTGGCTAGTCATTTTCAACTGATTAATTTTACTATTTGTTTTGTTCTTCAATATTACCTAAAGGCTTAAGAAAATGAATTTCTTATCTGATTTCTAAATTTCTTTTGAATATTGAAGATTCTAAGAAACTTCATTTTGACTTTTGAAAGAAGATTAGCCTTCCAAAACATTTTGGTGGTTTATGCCTTCCTTCCTTGGATAATATTAATGTTCTGTGCAAATTTAAATTTATTTATAAATGTTACAATTATTATTCTCACTTAAGTGAGTGGCTTTTTAATCATTATGGTTCTTTTTGCAGAGAGCCAACCATACTTCATCTCTTTTATTAAAAAAGTTTATAAGAATTGCTTCTAAATTTATATTTGATATGACTTTCCATTTGACTAATGATTCTTCTATGTTTCTTAACTTTGATCCTTGGTTGGACGACAAATATCTGGTTGAAACTTATGGTGAATTGATTATTAGTTGGTTTAATCTTCCTCTTAACACTAAGCTTAAGGATATTATTTATAATAATAATTGGAATTTTCCTTTGAATCATTTTGCCCTGTATATTTATATTGATTCTCTTAGTAAGATTTTTATTACTAATGGTTCCACTCTCTCTTAGAAGAATAGTTTGGTTCTTTCTCATAAAGATATTTATCACTCTCTTTATGCATCTCTCCCTTCTGTTAATTGGTTTAAAATGATTTGGTTTACAGTTTCTTCCTTAAGATATGCTATACATACTTTAAAATTCATTATTAAAGGCCTTAAAACCGGATATACTTTCATCAGAAGGTTTGCATATAAATTTAACATGTGTTTTATGTAATAATAGTTTTTAAACTCATGACCACCTCTTTTATGAATGTCCTTATTCTTATTCTATTAATAAAATTGTTTTGCTGAATGAAAATTTTTTTATTGCTCCTTGTAATATCTTTCAAGCCATTTATTATTTTGATAGCTTTTCTTACAAGTTTTGCTGGAAGATTTTATTCATTAGCTTTACAAGTTTTTCTTATGTGATCTAGTTTGAAAGGAGCTCTAAGATTTTCAAGAATAATAATAAATCTATTGATTTTAGTACTCATAATTTACATTGATTATTTAATTATAAGAATAGGAAATGGAAATTTGTTCTTATTATACGTTCTCTGCTTGTGCTCTATTCTACTAAATGAATTTGCTATTTTTTTTAAATTTTATCTAGGTAATCTCCTTGCCATTAAATTTGGAAGAAATTTTGGTTTAAACTATTTATGAAAGGTTTGTTCTGAGATTTTATTTCCTTAGTTTTAGGTTAGTGTTGCTTTGTAATGTTTTGAGTTTGCTAGTTGCTCGTGATTTCTATTGTGATTTATTGCTGGTGGTCTCTGCAGCATTTTGTTTCATGTTGTGCTTTGAGATTGTTCATGTTACATCATTTTGTTTTGTTGCTTTACTTCTCTTAAGGATGTTTTTCTTGCCGATATGTGCTCTCTGTTGATTTTCTGGAGAGGTTGATGTTGTAGTTGTTATGTTGGAGCTATTCGGTTTTGTAGTCTTCTTCTTGTGGCTGTTCTGTTGTGACTGATATGTTGGTGCTATTGCTATTTTTATGATATTTAAGATACTTATCTTGATCTTTTCTTTTTCGGTTTTGTTTTAAGGTTAAGCTATGACGTACCCTTTCTTACTCAGTGACGTTGCCATTCTTTGGAAGTTTTATTTTGGTAAGTTTCTTGCAGTTAAATCTGGACGAAAATTTGGTTTCAACCATTTATTAGGTTGCTGTTGTTGCTGTTTTGTTGGAGCTGTTCATATTAGAGATGCTAATGATCTGAAGAAGATCGTTTAGAGTTTTGTTGCTACTTTTCTTTCTTTAGTTCCAGTCTTTCTATTTCTCCTTTGTTGTATTCTTGTTCTTTTCTCTTGTGTATACACTCTAGTTTGGGTCTGCTTTAGGGGTGTAAACGAACCGAACACGAACGAACAAAGCTTGTGTTCGTGTTCGGTTCGTTTAAAATTTAGTTTGTTTGAAATAAGCTCGTGTTCGTTTTTTAACGAACAAGCCGAACACGAACCGGACACGAGTTGTTCGCGAACGACGAGCCAGTTTGACATCCCTAATATTAATATATAAAAATAATATTATATATTAATTATATAACTTATATTATATAAATATACAATATCTATATTAGTATATTACTAATATAGTATATTACTATATTATTATTATAATTTTATTATATATTATAATTTATAAAATTTAATGTTTTAAAATATAATAAATTTTTTATATATAATTATTTTATATTTTTTTATGTTTCAAACAATAACGATTCGAACACGAACGAACGCATCACTGTTCGTGTTTGATTCGTCTAACTAACCGAACGAAAAAAATTTGTTCGCGTTTGTCTCGTTTACTTATCGAACGAATCGAACACGAACTCATTGACAAACCGAACACGAACTGTTCGCGAACAACGAGCTTTTTTGACAGCCCTAGTCTGCTTTGTTTGTACTATTTTTTTGTTTTAATAAATTTGATTTGGGCCCTCATTTTTCTCCCCAAAAAAAAAAGAAGAAGAAGAATATGAACCAATTAAACATGTTTTTCTTCCTTCGTGGTACAAAAATTTGATTTATATCAGACGAAATTTTTGGATCGAAAAGCACTATCCGTATAAGAAGCGATGAGATCAGTTCTTCCGACGAAATTTGGATGTCATTTTTTATGGTTTGCACTCACGGAAAATGTACATATCAAGTTGTAATCTATGTATCTCACACACGCACGCAAACATGCTCGCGCACACACGAGCACAAGATTCATGTACATACCACACAATTCCTCTATTCACATATCTAACACTTAACCTAAAGTTTTACATCTATACCTCTCAACTTATGAAAAAAAGTTGCATTTCACTTTTCAAAACTTAATAATTGTGATATTTTTGTGGTGAAAGAAAAAAAAAATTAAGTGTTATAAATATAAAAAAAAAAAGGTGTTAGATATGTAAATTAGTAAATACATAAGAAGTTTTGTGGTATGTATATAAATGCCCCAATATATCCAGGTCAATTCAACGTTAAATACTTATAAAAGAATTTAAATGAAACAATTTTAAACGCTACTAAAGTTTCTAACTAAGGGTCTGTTTAGGATAGCTTATTTGATGCGGTGGCGTTTTGAAAACGCATCTAGCCTGTTTGGTTAAACTGCGATTTGAAAGCTTATGCGTTTTCAAAATGCTGAAAACAACATTTTCACACTGCACCTGTCTAGGTGTGGTGACAGTTTTCTAATAACGGTATGACTTTTTCAAAAAATAAAAATTTTAATAGCCAATACACCTAGCTTATCAACAGATCATTTTTAATTAAATTACCAATAGATTATTCAATAAGCTACAGTTGGCCCAAACAAAACCTTAGATCTTTAATTTGAAATTATACTCTTGATCATGCATAAAATAACTAAGATAAAAATATTTCGGATTGTTTTTTAGAAACACCATTTTTAATGCCCGAGACCGTTAATTTAAATCTGATTCCTTTATTTAACCCAAAGGGATAATAAATCTTTGTGAATGCATCTACGAAGTTATATATTTCCCAGTTTTAGTTCATATAAAGTCTTCATACAATTCCACATATGTTCCTAGTACAACAAACAGACAATCGTACATGCGGGCGACGGTGCGGTGTCAACAATGGCGTGGTAAAATTCACACTAATGTTGTCGTCCGCACATATTCACGCAGCAACGAAAATGTTAGCTCTCTTGCTAGATTCTTGAATTTTTGATCTCTCATGCTGATAATTAGGTGTCCTCATAATTCTCAGCCTGCTGTTTGAATCAAGTTCTTTTCTCTCATCTTCCAAAATTTGCTGATAACGACACTCTACACTACAAAATCCTTGGTCTCTCCTGAACATGCAGCAGAAAATCACAATCATTAAACATGAATTTTCATAAAAGATATAGATTATTAACTTAATTATTACATTTTTAAACATCATTAGAAATTAATCCTGTTTTGTTTACAAAACAATAGATATAGTTTTATTAACTCATGCCACCTTCCCTATGCTTGAAAAGGTGTCTTCCACTCTTTAAAAAACAAAAAGGTGATTTTTTTTTTAATGTAAAATTAAGGATTTGTGTGGTATAAATATGATAATTAAAGTTCAACTTGAAGATTAATTAATAAAGTAGCCGAGGCATACCTATACATGTAAACCTCGTTTTGAAGGCTAAGCTCTTTACTGCATGCGCAGCAAAACTTGAGAAAATGATCAGCAGATAAATGCTTAAGAACTGGTTTCTTCTTCTTCTTCTTCTTCTTCTTCTTCATTGCTGAGCTGAACAAGGCTTTGGAATCGATTCCACCATGTTTTGTAATGATCTGAAGCCCTACAGCTCCATCTGTTTCTGCTGCAAACCCCCCCTCGCTGATATTAAAATCCCATTCTCCTTCCTCTTCAATGTGGAAGATGCTTCTGGTTCTTGAAAACATTTTGATGAAGAGGAAGGGGAGGGAGAAGAGAGGAAGAGAGAGGTGGGATGTATGTGGGATGGAAGTATGAGACGATGATAAAGAAAAGGAGGAGATAAAGAGGAAGTGTGGTTTGTTTTGTAAAACACTGCAAAGTTCAAGGTTCTTTAATAGAGCACTTATTTAGTATGGACATCACATGTAAATTTACGTGTGATGTCCGATCTGAACTACTGAAATACATCTTTTTATTTATTTTTTTTAGTGTTGTCTACTCTAAAATTTTTGACAGTCTTAATCAGACACCACACAAAAATTTTGCCTATAATTTTTCCCTTGAATGTCACTATGGAGTACTTATTTATTATCATGGATTTTGCTTTTTAACCCCACCTTTGAGCAACATTGTAGCATGGAACCATCGATTTAAGGATATGTAATTTTTATGAGTTTAATTGACATTCCCATGTTCAATTAATGCAAGATTTACACATGTATACCAATTCATTCTGACGTATTTACATATCAAACACGTTCAATTTCAACATATTCGCCTCTTTATCTATGTATGAAAAGTTATATTTTATTTTTTAAACATTAAAATAATGATATTTTTGCTGTAGTATGAAAGATTTGGTTGACATAAATGTAAAAATAAATAAATAAATAAATCAAATTTTGGTGTTAAATATGTAATTACATAAGAAATGAATGCCCCTTTGATGCTTGCATTCATTTGTCTATTTTTGTGTTCTGTAAAGAAAAATCTAAAGGGAATAATGAGAGAAAGCGAAGCATTTGAATTCTGTACATCCAATATTGATTTGGCATAGCTTTACAGTTGTTATGATGCTGTGTTTCTATGTTGACTTGAAATAAAAATAATTCATTTTTATTAAAAATATAATATTTTAATAAATAATTTTAGTTGTTTATGAAATAATAGATAATATAAAAAACTAAATAATTTAATACACAACGTGGCTGGATTGTACATGTGACAGATAGTGATTGGAGTCTTAATGCATTTTTCCATCAACACTCATGATGTGATATTTTTCCATGTATAAGGGTTGAACTAACGTTTGAAAAATAATGTGACGTCATATTTTGCCCAGTGTAAAAATAATGTTGGTTCCGCCCTTAACTTATAACACCCAAAATTTGATATTTATATTTGTTATACTCTAATGTTATAAATATACTTTGTATTTTATTTTTCAAGAGTTAATAATAACATTTTTGATGTAATGGTAAAAATTTGATTGTTATAAATATGATGGGATTAGATATGTAAATACCTAGAAATTGTGTGGTTTGCATGTATATGTCCCAAGTATTAAATGCAATATTTTCAGCTGCCTTAAGAACTTGAACTACTTAAAATTAAATACAAGGTTTTGAACTACTTAAAATTAAATACAAAATTAATTAAATTTAGTAGGTATAAAATTAAATGCCTTATACTAGAATAGTCAATTAAGAAACTGACCTCGCCTTAATTTTGCTTTAAATTAAGTCGCCTCACTCTCGTTTTCAGGGCATCTCCTCCTGTACTTCTATGGCTTACATTTAACAGCATTTATTTCGTTTCATTAAGTTAGATTCAGAGCGCTTGCAAATTGAATGAACATCTAGTGATGTGCCTTTGAACCCTTGTGTGCATTACATATTATTCAGTCACTGAAATTTTATATTCATAACACAAAAGTTATATATATATACGACATGGATCTCGAGGCAATATTTTGAGCAAGAAATATTCAAATCTTGAAAAAAAGTCATATAGAGCTCCAATTTTAGTATACTTATAGTCAAACTGGTCAGCTCGATGAGAAAGATCTAATGATATCAAGATTAGTCCAATACGAGTCAAATCAAGCCCAGATCAATCAATTAAATCATTTTTGAAAGATTTTCGGACACATTTGAAAGATCAAATGAATGTCTTATTCAGGGAGTTCATAGTGAAATCGAGCGTCTTGACAAGACGAATCCAACGAGCTGAAGATTGCTCAGTTTCGACATCGTTAAGGCACTCAAATGTTCATCAAATGTCATTTGATTGAGAGAAGCTCTCCGGACCGTCCAATCAAAATGGTTTATATTCCTGCATTAATTGCACCCAGAACACTATAAATAGAACCCACCCATCACATGAGGGAAATAGACTTGAGAGAGAACTTGAGGCTTTGAGAAAGAGCTTAAGTCCAACATCATCTCTGTCATTCGACCTTCATCAACCACCACCGACCACCGTCGACCACCACCGACTGTCGGCGATCACCGCCGACCTCTATCAACCACCGTCGGCCGAAGCCGATCCTCGCCGACCTCCGTCAACCGTCCTCGACTATCGTCGACCACCGCGGACCTCCGTTGACCATCACCGACCGTCATCTATTGTCGTTGACTACCGTCGATCACGACTGACCTCAGTCGACCACCGCTGGCTAAATGTTGTCAGTCTACATTATAACTTGGAAAGCTAGTAAGTCTTTCCCGTCTGTGGGTCAAGAGGCCTCCGTAATCATCAACTTATAGTAGATTTTTTTGACTGGGTCAGACCCCGTGGTTTTTTCCCTTTGCAGGTTTTCCATGTAAAAACTTTTGGTGTCATCACAAATTGATTCCCTTTTATCTGAGTGTGTGTTGAATCCTCGTGCAACGCTAAGATGATAATCAATTACTCTACTGCCTCGAATTTTTTAACACACATCAGTTTGACGCCGTATGTGGGAAAGTTTCAATCCCACAACTAAAGTACTTTCGTGGTTTACTGCATGGCTACCAAACACAATATTTGTGATAACAGAGCATCCCGCTCCAATACCCATCGTTCCAGGGAGCTGTCACGAAGCCGAAGGCGGCATGCTTTTTCATCTTCCGGCCCTGGAAGACGCTATCCTACCAATGAAGGAGTTTCGGTCCTATAGAAGATCGAATGCCCATAATGGAGGAGTCTCAATTAGAGATCATACAGCTCCTACGCGGGGCTCAACAGTCGCTGCCTACACCATTGGATGAATTCGTTTACCATTAACTCTACAATTTATGAGAAACATACCGCTATGAGGAACTCGTACTGACCCGTCTCCTCAAGAAGGAACACTTCCTCTGTCAGGTTGTGATGTTGAACTCCTGATACTGCAAGTTCTACCCATCCATCACGTGCAGCTCACCCGACATTCCCACATTTTCATGCCTTTCCAGATGATGTCATTCGTAACGAACTATGATGCCTTGTTCAAAAAGAGTTTCCCCTAGAGAAAAATGATCGCTTCTACACTCACTGTAACATACATGAATCCTCTCCCTTAGTGGATGCAGTTCTCCAACACCCCATTCCAATAGGCTTCAAGCTTCTGAATATCGATACATATGAAGGGATAACGACCCATTCGAGCATATTGATCATTATCGAACCATCATGCACCTTCAACGTGCCTCTGATGCACTTTTGTGTTAAGTGTTCCCTAATACTCTTAAAACACAAGCTTGAATCTGGTTCTACTCTTTGTCAAGGGGCACAGTAAACACCTTTAACGAGCTTGTCAGACTGTTCACAGAGCAGTTCATCGCAAATCGAAGGATCATCAATGATTCATCTCATCTCTCACGAATTTGTCAAAGTGAAGGAGAGTCGCTCAAGGACTACTTTCGTAGATTCTCTGCTGAAGCCCGTCAGATTTTGGAAGTAGATCCGGAGTTACTAAGAGGAGTCTTCCTTGGGGAGCTCCACCCAATACCCTTCTACTCATTATTGATAAGGGAAACATTTCGTTCTTATGACCTTGTTCACCATGTTGAGGCACAAATCTCTGCAGATGAGATCATCATTGTTCACAAGGAACAATTTGAGCGGTTGGGGGACAAGAGCAAGAATAATGCTTGAGATACCAATCAAATCTCATAACGAAAAAAGTTCAGACTACAGGGGAATCGTGAGCAACGATAAGAAAAAGAATACAAGCCACTCAACACGTCATGTGTTAACATCTTAACAACAATCAAAGATGAAGAGACTCTCAAGTGGTCATGGCCGTTAAGAAATCCAGATGGTGGAGATCAGTCTTAAAATTGTCATTTCCACCGAGCAAAATGACATTCAACAGAAAAATGTTTACAATTAAAGAAAAAAATTAAACGTCAAATACGCCAAGATCACTTGGGTTGTTACTTACAATTTGAGGGGAATCATAAGATAATCGTTGTAGTTATCGAATGAGGAGTATAACTCCAACTCATCTTATCTGAGTAAAAGAATGACTTATAAACTCTTAATTTTTTAAACTCTTAATTTTTAATTTTTTTTAGCATAATTTTCATGTTGCTTTAAAATGTCATTTCATTGAAATTTTCTTATTTTCTTATGAAAGATGTTTGTGTAGAAAGCTCTCTTGAAGATGAGAAGCTATCATGCCCCTAACACTCAAGCCCAAGAGGCAATACTTGACGAGAAAATACGGTACTCCTAAAAGTCAAGCCCCAGCGACAAGACTCAAAGAGAAGCTACCATGCCTCTAGAAGATGAGCCCAAGAAGCAAGTCTCCATGGGAAGCTAGTAGTGGATAAGGTCCTCACTAGAAAGGCTCCATGAGAGCAAGTGGTTGACAGGGTCTCTACTCAAAGACCTCAGTAGGCTACAAGCCTCAGAAAGGACATGTACAATCAAAGACCTCAAAAGGCTATAAGTCTCAGAAGTCACAAATATACTCAGAGACCTCAGAAGGCTACAAACCTCAGAAGGCATAGGTACATCAAAGACCTAAGAAGACTACAAACCTCAGAAGACACAGATACATCAAAAATCTCAAAAGACTACAAGTCTCAGAAGACATATGTGCATAAAATTCCTCAGAAGACTAAAAACCTCAGAAGAATTTTGCGCAATTAAGAAGCCACAACAACTTTAGAAGCAACAAAAAAATACATTGTTATCATCTATAATTGTCACATGAGATGATTAAAAAAACTACAAATATCAGCATATACATATACAAGGGCTACAACAAATCAGTTAATCTTCAATTAGAGTCGACATCGCCTTTATAAAATTTCAGTACTTTTGATGATCGTTAAGGGGTCTCCAAATATCGTCACCACATAAGCATGAAAATCCC